ATCAGAGAGTTGGATAATGACTAAGGAGGGGGGGGGGGGCGGGAAAGATCCATTGTGTTACAGTGCTGGAGAATAATACTGAACATACTACGGACTACCAAGAGAAAAAAAATATATCTGTCCAGGAGAGGGTGAAAACAAATTTCCCCTTGGAGGCAAGGATTTTGAAGTTCTGTCTCACACACTTTTGCCATGTTGCCAAGAGGGCCTTCTCTTTGGAGAAGGAATTATGCTTAGAAAGATAGCAAGGTTGTGAAGGAGTAAGAAGACCCTGGATAAGATGGACTGACACAGTAACTGGTGTAATGGGAATAGGTGTGTCAGAAACAATGAGACAGGCTCAGGATAGGGGAGGGTTTGGAGCTATTGTGCATAGGATCACTGGGAGTCACAAATGACTCAACAGTACATGAAAACAACTATGTGTCAAGCATCATTTTAGGACCTTTCTACACTTAGTTAATATCCTTAGAACCACTATGAGGCAAAGCTCCATTTACCAGATGAAGAAAAGTGAAGTTCAAAGTCAGCAGGCTTTGCAAGGTGGTCTAGCAGGTTAGGAGCAAATGATAAGATCAGAATTGGTCTTAATCTTCATGCTGATTGGATCTCCTGACTAGACAGACCAGAAAAGTCCAAAGAACTTTTCAAATGGGGGAAAAAATGGTTTTGTTTTGCCAAGAACAGTATCTTTTCATAAAAAAGTGGACTTCTACTATTATCAAAGGAATAAAAATTTCAGAATAAATATTAGCACAGAACTCCAAAAACTTCACCAGAGACCTCTAAGAATCCACTTTGGGGAACTACGCTTGATTCTGCCTTGCCACTATAAACGTAATATCTATTTTATTCCTATTTCTAATTTGCAGATAACTAAATAACAGCTGTCTAAGGTAATATTAAAAAATGTGGCAGGAAAGGAGAATGAAATCAGACTGGTACTCAAATGTGTCCAGGATATCTGTATAAGCCACTAAAGCCACAGAATACAGCACCCAGGAGAGGGAAGGAAAGAACCATATGGCTCAAGGATGATACCATGTTTCAAAATGTTGCTTTAAGGCCAAAAGAGACATACCGGAAGTTCCTTCACTGGGAGGAGCTCATTCAGTTCCAAATTAGCTTCAATAACAGGGCTGATGTGTAAATTCTGGGCTCATTCTTGATCTCCAGCGCCATTTAGAACTCACTGTGAGTTCACAAAGGTTTTTAAACGCTTGTTGAGGGATCCAAAGTACAAACAATTCTTCATTTAGTCTTTTCTCCTACAGAAGGCTGGTGGCACAAACAATGAACACATTGGCTGCTAACCAAAAGGTGGTGGTTCAAGCCAAAGTGGGAGAGCCTGGCATTCTCCTACCACACAGATCACCGTCAAAAAAGCCAACGTGTTCAGATCAAATTTGATTTGATAGTACCCAGTAATAGCTCTCAATGTGTGCCTCTCATGACACAACTGTGCCAGTAAACAGGACAAAAATGTGGTTCACATAATCTAAAGCTAGCAACTTCACATCCCAAAGGCAAGGAGGTCTAGGCTATAAACGAGACCTGTCTTCTCTCAAGAAATAGTAAAGATACAGGCTGAACAAAGAGCATACACGTTCCCCTGCGTAGAGGTCCCAGTGGATATCTATTCTAAAAGCACAATGTTAAGTACCAAACCAAACATCCTCCTCAAAGTTGTATCCTAATGGGGAAGCAATGCATATGCAAAGAACAACCAGGCACTGAGCCCTCTGTGTGTCAGGCATTGTTCTAGGCCAGCGGCTCTGAAACAGGGAGGCTTTGCATCAAGGGGACATTTGGCAATGTCTGGAGACACTTTTTGTCACAACAGTGGATGGAGAAGGGTCACAGGGCCTCTTGCAGGTACTGGCCAACGACACGGGTAAACATCTTGCAGAGCAAAAGAACACACTAATACAAGCATACAACAAGGAATTAGCCAGGACCAAATGTCAATGATGTCAAAGTGGAAGACCTTGTTCTAGGATTTGCAGACAATCCCAACTGCATGAAGCTCATACCCTAGAGAGAAAGAACATATATTAAGCATAATATATTGACAAATAATACAGAGTGTTAGTGACTCAGTACTACGGAAGGGAATAAAGTAGGGCAAATCAGATGGAGACTGCTGAGGAACAGCAATTGTAAACAGCATGGTCCAGGCAGGTGAAGGGGCATCAGCAAGTGCAGCATACAAAGGCCCTGAGGAGGAGAGACCAAGAGTGCCCTAGGAAGAGCAAGGAGACCAGCCTACCTGGAACAGAAGGAACTGGAGAGGGACAGCAGCATGGCCAGGGAGCCGCCCTGCAGGCTGCCATGTGCCATTTAAGAACTTGAGTTTTACTCTCAAACCAGCAGGTCCATTGGAGTGTTCTGAATACAGAATAACTTAGTCAGTGCAGGTTTTCTCAGAGAACCTCAGTACTCTGACCACCTAGACCCTGTGCTTCTGCTGTGCAGAGGTATCACTGTGCACTGTACAATACCCTCTACCCCATGCTATATGACAACCACAAATGTCTCCAGATGTCACCACTGGCTAAGGACCAAGAATACAGGAGTTGCCATACTGAAATCCACTTATGGGAGGTAAGGCAGGACAGTGGGTAAAAGACAGATGTGATAATCTGGGGAGTCTGTGGGGCTTAGGTAGTAGAAGAATTGTGAAAGTGGGCTGATTCTGGATTCCACAGGGACAATCCAAAGATACAATGGAAAGAGAGGCTAGATACAGAAGTCTTCAACTTCTTCCAACCAAGATCTACAAAAAGTGAGGAGCCTAGGCAAAGGCCAAAGGCAAAAAGGTACAGGAAGTCCCTGAACACCAAGCAGCCCCCATAAAGCTGCACAACAGATGCAGACGTCAATACATTAGAAAACTGAGGAAAACAGCATGGGGAAATTCTGCCAACCCCAGTATTTATTCACAGATTTTATTTAACTGGTTTACTTCAAACAGCATGTGTCTCTCTGCTCCAAATACAAGTTCTGCGACAAGTTTTTTAGTGGAGCCTTCCCTCTGAACCAGTGCTGCCTGCAGATGTCTCTACTGTAAGATGTGAAGGCATCACTCTCAAGTCCTCATAATCGCACCTTCCCACAATCCCCGTCATTCTCACTGGGCATGGAGGACGTGCCCCCTGATAAGTGAACATGCCCAAATCCTTAAACATGACTTTGGTTTGTGTTTTTTTCCAGATGGCGTTTGCTTCACTGTCTCAAACTAACTTAATGTTATGTATCAGCTACCATCAAAAATGTTCAAAAGCAGTTAATTCATTTCTTTCAGGACTCTGCACATACTTGCACCCTCCTTCTGGCCATGTGAGTATTTGCTTATAGTAGCAAAAGCATGGCTGGCCCCATAACACATCGGTCCCTTCAGCCAAATGCAGAGAAAGCTTGGACAAGTGAAACAACAATACCCTTCATACAATATCACCACACCCCCAGCCCCCAACACACACAATCTATGCTCACACACAAAACCACCATTATGAAGAGAAACACCAACTAACTACAGTTGGCTTTAGGCTTCTAACTGCACAGGCCACTTCCCTTCCATCTCCATTGTGCATTTGCAGAGATGATGCCTCTGCCAGCAGCCTGGTTCTGAGCTTGGTTCCATTTTCCTCCCCAGCTGTGTTTCTAAGTCCTCAGGCCACAGGCCTCAAGGAAACAAAGCCCCACTTTGCCACAGAGCAAGAACCAGCTCCGATGTCTCCATAATAGAAGGTACAGCACACTCCCGACCCTCTCCCTCTCCAGTGGCCCTGCTGTCTGGGCCCTGTCCCCTACCTCCAAAGTCCAGGGGCAGCGGCAGACAGGCTGCTAAGGAGCCCCACAGAGGACGTGCAATTCTAGACGCACCTATCACAAAGACCATCGCCCCTTGCTCACTCTTAGTAAAACTGGAAATGACAAGTCCCAGGCTGGGATGGCCACAGGGCACGGAGAAAGGAGGACACCGACTTCCCCACAGGCAAGTGTAAAGAAGGGAGCACTGCCCAGTGGCGCGAGGCTGTGCAGTGTCAGACCAGCGGGTCCCCCCACTCCTCTCCTGCTAACTTTTAAAGAGTCCAGAGGATGAAAAGCGCGCCTCTAACAGGTAAGGGGCGCGCCAGGAAGGCCTGGGTTCGCATCCACGGCGAAGGATTGGCAATCTCTTCCCGTGCGATTACTGCCTCTGAAAATCTGCCGCAGGTCCGTCCGTAGGTTCCGACGCTACAAAACAACAGGAATACTGCCAGAAATCTCTCATTAGCTTCCTCAAGCCAGTCAAGTCAGTCGCACGTACCTCTGACATGTTTCCAGGAGGGACCAGTCCCTAAAGAAAGCCATTTCGCTCAGTAAAGTAGGAAGGTCAGAGACAAGAGGAGGGCGCTCAAAGGGGCGTGCAGACACCCCCCAATACCAAGGCGGACAGCTTCTTTCCGCTGTCCGCGGTGTCTCCCAGGGTGGGCGCATCTGAACAGCACCAGCACGACTCCCCGAGAACCTCACCTGGCCAAAGCGTCCCGCCCCCGCCGTCCGGCTGCGGCAGGTGAGAGGGGGCGGGGAAGCTCACCTGGTGGCCGAGCGGGCTCGCACAAGAGGCTCCAACATTACTGTCGCCCGGCAGGGTCGCGTTCCGGTCCCTCCACGGCCGCTCCCCGAGCCCTCGGCCCACGGCGATGCTCGGACCAAGGGCGCCCCGCAAACTCTGCGTGCCCTCACCCACTGCGCCAGCACCCTGGGCTCGCGCCCCACCCCCACCTCCGGCAGGAACTCCCAGCCCCCCACGTCTGCAAAGCCCGCACCCCCTTAGGGGAGGGTCCCGCGCCCCGAGGAAAGGGTCCCGCGCGCCGGACTCTCGCGGCCGCCCCCGCACTCAGCCCCTCAGCTCGGGGCAACTCGCCCTCTGCCCCGGGCAAGGGCACGGGGTCCTTGTCCCAGAGCCCGCGGGCTGCCGCGCCGCCCGGCCTCCCCCAGCTGTCACCGCTCACCTGCTCTGGAGCGGCTGACTTTTGAGTTCGTAATAGGTCTTGGGCTCTTCATGAAACTCCTCCCCGACTTCGAAATCGGGCACGATGCCCGACTCTGCCTGCATGGCTCCCGCTGGGCGTCCGAGCACCGCCGGAGAGCGAGGACACCGCGGAGCGCACGCGAAGAGCGGGCTGGTCCGCCGTGCGCCCCCGCAGCCCTCGGCGGCCCGCGCGCCCCGTGCACGAGCTGCCCCGGCCCGGCGGGCAGCCGCCGCGCCTGGCCTCCTGGGAGCTGTAGTCTAGCTGGGGCCTGGCCCGCCCAGGTCTGCCCGCCGGGCGCCGGGCGCAGGACTACAACTCCCAGAAGGCCAGGCGCGGCGGCGAGCCAGACATTCGGCAACTCCGCTCGGGATTCACTGGCAATGTCAGCAGCTCCCTTGGTTTGAAGGGTACACACTCACCTACTTCGGATTAATAGGACCGATGGCGAGCTCTCCCACCTCACCCTTCTCCACTTCAGACATTTACGACGTCAGAAGTCTCTATTTAAAAACATTCATACTGAAGGGTTTGGGCACTAGAAAGTTTTGGCAGTCTGGCTGTTTTAAAATGAAGGGACTTCTCCCAACCTGCTTACTGCCCTGGGCTGCAATGGCTTACTAGCTTTTCCCAAACTACCAAAGCCTGGGAACTTGTTTCACTTTCTAATTAAAACTTTATTGTAGAAAATGCTCTTGTACTTTTCTTCTCTGTGACAAACTCCGCCTGGACTTAAACAATATTGTTTCCTTAAGTAGCAGTGTTCACTTGATCAAATCTAACGCAATATTTTTGTTCCATTCATGTAAGAAGGCACAGACCCTGTATCCTTCGAATGTCTGAATTGGTGGAAGTTCAAATGAGATGGTGTGAAGTTGTTGGATACAGAAATCATTTGTCACTCTCCCTCTACTTAAATTTGCCAGCGCTCACTTAGGTGACAGGCACTTGATTACTTTCAATCCGCCCTCCACAATAGTTCTAGCAGGACCTTTCCCCGATTGTAAAAGTGTGCTAAGCATGGACAGATGTACAGAGAGGTATCTAAAGTCCTAAGACTTGTGGTCAAATGCCGAATCCAGCTCTGTGAAGTATTCCTTGATCTTTGACATACTATTTGATTCTTAGAGGCCTCATTTTTTTTTTCTCTGAACCTGTTTCAGAAGGTATGTCAAGACAAAATGCAAGAGAAAGTGATTGGTAGTGTGTGGAAATGGTTCTCAGTCTTTTTAAAAAAGGAATTCCTTTCCCCCCCCCCAAAAAATAGTTGTTTCAGACTACCATTTATTTCTGTGTTTGTCCTTTTGGAGGTAATAAACTTAATGATCAACATAGGAAAACAAGGCAAGACTACTAATGGAGTACCTCCTAAAAGTTGCCATCTTGCCTGCTCTGCATTGTGCTGTAGCATTCTCCTGTAAAAAAGAGAAGACCACTGAAGAATAGAGTTCCTTTAGGAGCTAGGGATATCAGAGACTTGGAAATAGGCTAGGAATTACATGGTATGCTGGGTCGATTACTCAAACACCACAAAATATTTCAGTGCCCAGAATGCCTCTTAGGTCACTTACTACCCCATTGAAGTACAACTAAAAAATCTCTCATTACCCACAAGTTGGAATAGACTTATAGCTGACGGTCTAGTGGATTTTCAGAGGCTGTAAACTGCACAGGAGGAAACTGCCCACCTTTCTCCCTTGGGGTTAGCTGCTGGATTCAAATCCCCAGAGAGGCACAGCTTTTCAGTGAAGGGTACAGCCCCCTACAGACTATCCCACCAAAGCTCCATGCAGGTGAAAATCACTGAAGGAAAGGCAATTTTTTAATATCTGTGAATGCAGAATCTCATATTCATTGCTAGAAGAGCTGCTAGAAGTTGTTGTTGTTGTTATGTGCCATCAAGTCACCTGCGACTCATAGCGACCCTATGTACAACAGCCCTAAACTCCGCTCTGTCCTGTGCCAATTGCACTGTCTCTGACACTCCCATCCCAATTATCCCAGTCACTGAATCAATCCACCTCATAGAGGGCCTTCCTCTCCT